GTTTGTAGTAGTAATAGTGTCCCATTCCCCCTTGATAGTTCTTTTATTTCTTTCTGTTTCTTCTTTTTAGCCTGGCTAACATTGTTTAATAGCCACAAAAGTTGCCTGCGCACTGTTTAGAAATATATATACAATTTTGTAGCAGTGATCTCCTTGTGAAAGAGTTCGTCCAGTGTAGTACAGCCACCTTACCTATTTCTGCCACCAAGCAGTAATGTCAGCGTTACTGTGTTCCGATTTTGAAGGGTATGGGTGCTGGTGAAATTACAGGCACACGGGACTTGTCAACTTATGTCTCAGGGTGACGGGCGCAGTGGTAGTGCCCCTCAGACCTTTGCAATTAATTTAAAGCTCTGAGTGGCACTGTAACTGTTATGGACAGTCGTGTAGCTTACCGTCAGGCGCACGACTAGTTCGTCCTGTCACTTGATGTTATAAAAAAACATATACCTGTAGCTGGCATACTTAAGTACAAATCCTTAGCAGTCATTCGCAAGGAAACTTGCAAGTTTATACACGTAACTGGTATGCCAGACACGTGTTCTTTGACATCACACCTCAATCTTTAAAAATTTATAACTCACGGAAAAAAGAACTATCAAGCGAAAGCTTCTCGTGTCAAGAAATTGTCAGAGATCATAAATTATTGGTTTTGTTGTAGAAATTGTGACCTCGCCTTGCGCTATTGTTCCAAGTCATGCATACATACTCCCGTTTAATAGCCGTGTCCTATATCGCCATTCGGCACATAGGAATTGTGTTCAGGCTTATTGGCAACTGTAAGTATGCGAAATAAATGGCTTTTGTTGAATGATGATTACAGTTTAAGCATCCCCACCACCGCAGGTCAGGTCTGGTGAACTCTATCAAATTCTGGCTTGACAACAACAATACCAATAGTGTTTTATAATGGTGACAGTGCAATGTATTTATTATTAATTCCAACCAAGTTAAGGCAAGAGCGGTAGCTACAGTCAGACGACAGACACTGGTTTTAGTCCAGTTGGATTATAAAAATTTTTCTTTGTGTTTGTTCGATCTTTGTATCAATAAAAAAGAGAGGTAAAGACTTCAAAATTTTGAATATTCTCTTGTTACTTCTTATAGTGCCTCTCCACCACTGGAAATTGGCCGTCATTATGGCTTTTTTTATTCAAATGTAAGTGCGCATTTCACCTCCATCTCACCTGATGGAAAGTGACAATGAGGTCGACGATACAGCATGCACACCTAAATAATACCTATTGACTATCGCCTTGAACAGATCCAAGTTATAACGTTCAGGGAACAAGTCAGCAGGCAGGGAATTCCACTCCATAGCCGTTCGCCATAATAAATTTGGAAACATAGAAGTGGAATCCAAGCCTACGTCTGGTCCCCCGATGATGGAAAGGGGAAGGCGGAATTAAACCGTGTAATTCCATCGCACACTCTCCGTAATGTATCCTGTAAAATACCCATAAGCAGCGTCAGAAGGCTTATAGAGCCTCTTGGCACGCTTGTACATTGAATCTACGTGGCCAGTTGGTATGTAACAGAACGATTCCAAAAGTGGCATCTCTACTCCATACACGACCTGACTTGTGCTTGATACAGCTGAAGCAACTGTCCCGTTGTGAGTATCGCCTTACCTTGGAAAGGATGCCAAGCTTCCTGGCTGCATTTTTGACCATGGATTCAATGTGTGTGCCGAAGGTCAGATTTGACGACAGGTCCACTCCAAGTAGCTGGAGACGGTCGGTTATCGGTATGGATATATCACGATGAGTCGGAGTCAGCACAAAGGGAGTCCATTTTGTGGGGAATAGACACGCCTGCGTTTTGGTAGCATTAAATTTGACAAGATTGAAGAATTGATTGCTTTGGAAGATTGTCCGCGTCCATGGCCAAATGAAACGGTTGTTCTGCGCTCGTGGCTCCGGTCCGATCCCTTATGTTGCATAACCTTTCCCATATTATAAGTTGAAGTAGTCGAGTATCAATCGAGTCGAAGCATGTGAGCGAAGTGCTTTTGCGCTTCTTGATTGTCCCTTATTATTATGTATTTATCTCCCTATGGTGATGAACAAAAAATATTATTAATAACAATAAGACACTAGATATATATATCATGATATTCAATAAATTAAATAGTACAATGTGTTGTTTTCTCGTAACTTTGAAAGTAATTTTTTAAATTCTGTTACAATTATTAATCCTTCATTTGTTGGTCTCGGTGCTTACTGCTGTTTGTGGCGTGGTTTCTTTGTGTTTCCGTTTTTTTCAAACCAGTTTTATAGCAATCAAAACAAATGTTAATCCTGAAAAAAATGCGAAGTTAATAAGACCTGTCATGAACCGTTCCCCACATCTTATTATGCCTACAAAAAATAAAGTCACAATTAAATTTGCGATTTCTAGAAAAGAACGTAAAGTTTAACTAGTTCAGTAGGATGACAGCCTTGATAGGTAAATGTCAATTCATTAATAAATATTAATGCAGCTAACTTCACTGCGAATATAAATACGAACATAGATCATTTGCTTGTTTTTCACAATCAGGAGATATTCTAAGGTGTGACCATCTGCCTTTCATCCCACTGTTCAGTTTATTGCAAAATTTTAAAAAAACTTTTTTTTGTAGTACCGAGTGACGGGATGAACAAATTGTGCGCCTGGTGATAAGCGACACTCCTGTCCATAACAGTAGTGTCTCTCAGAGCTTTAAATCACAAAGATCTCATGGGCACTGTCACTGCGTCTGTCACCCTGAGACATAAGTTGACATGTCCCACGCGCCTGTAATTTCACGAGCTCAAACATTTTCCTGTCACTGTGTTAGCTACATAATCAGAACTTTTCAAAACCTTATAGTAAAAAGTTTTTTTTGTTACGATTTTTATTTCATGCATATTGTAATAATTTTTGATGTGAATCAGTCTTCATGAAAATATTCACGATTATGGAAACTTTTTGAAGTTTTATCTCTAGCGTTACAAATCACACAGAATTTGTGTAAGATTTTCTGTAAATATCTGATGAAAATGAGATAAATTAATAATTTTTAGGAGTTCCAACATTTTAGACTACATACTAAATCGTTTTTTTTTTGTTATAAAACTGTTAGGTCATTTGAAATATTATTAAAAAATTTAAGAATAATTTCATTGACTTGTCTATAAGGAACATTGATAGCCTTGTGAAATTAATTCTTACCTTCCGTGTCTTCTCCTACCAGGCCCCTGCTACCAAGTCATTTAAAATCATATACAGTTTCTGAAATTATCGCTTACTTCAACAGTGAAAAAAAAGCCATGATATCGAAGAATGTCCCCCATCCCGCATTGTGCAGTCGTGGTTGATACGGCTTAAGCCCATTAGGCTTAGGCATCTCATTAGAATAGTTCTGTGCTCATCAGTAGGAATGACGATTGTAATAATCACACTAAAGCTACAACCAATACACTGAATCTAGATTTATTAGCTTAAACGGAGTATGTCATTTTGTCTTTTACTCACTTTGTTCGACACGACATTAGGAAGAAATGGAGTGATCTTTCTTGTAACCTGGAACCACTATAAGCTCTATTAGGAACAATAATAATAGGAAACTAATGAATCGCAACAATGGGCATAATATCTGCTATAACAAAAAAAAAGTTCCGGTAGTACGCTATCTGTATAGATAACTTTGTGTAATTAGAGGTCATCCATCTATTTATGTCAAAATCAGAACTTCGCATATGTGGCGTGGAGTTGCCCACATTCTCTGAATCGTAAACAAAGCTTGTGTTATTTCTGCTGTTGTTTTTTATTTATCTCATTTTTCCTCGAGTGTGACGTTTTATATACACAGAGTTTTTATCTTGTATTTGTTTATATTTTGATAATATGACAATATTGTTTCTTTAAAATATAAATGTAATTTAAATATACCATTGCCCTGTTTATTACGGATATATACTGTTTGATGTCCCATGTTTTGATGTCAATAAAACTTTTTTGTGAAAATTGTATATTACATCCAATGTGGTCGGGTTATCGTCGTGGTCTGTCATTATTTAATGTTAGAGGCGATAGTAGTATGAAAACGTTCTTTGGTTAAGGCCAGTTTCAAATTGATGAAAACCATTTTAATGCAGTATTCAGATTTGTTATCAAATCTTAAGGGTTCTAAAAGTATAATTTTGGCGTTCGTCATTTGTTTTTCTTGTATAGAGCGCACTATGCGCTTTTGGTTTGCCCGATTGCGCAGTAGAAATTTAACTTAGTAAGAGTGCCTCGACCAGAGTTCGAAGAGGTATTGAAGTATGACTCATTGTAAACAACTGAGGAATTTGCAGCGTAGTTGGACGTAACTATACCCTCAATGTAGTGAAGAAATGTGGGCGATGAGGGCAGTAAACCGATTTTATCGGTATTTCTACACGATACCGCGACGAGAGCGCACACTGTTGAACAAAGAAGTTGCAGATTGCGGCTCGTTATCACCCTACATACTCAGTTCATTTAGCCCCTGACTACCATTTTTTTTCCCGCAATTTTGATTATTATCTACAAGGAAAAAAATCTTTCAAGCAGTTGAAAATTAGTTCCGAGATTTAGTGGATTCCCGTTTCTTACTATTCTACTGCAAAATAATAGATGAATTTCCAGCGTAATGGTAAAAGTGTATTCATAGCACGGTTGCGTATTATAATTACATAACTAAATGTTATTTTCTTTTTTAAATTCTCTTATATGGAACAGGAATTTATTAACTTTACCTTCTATTTTTTTATTGTTACTACGTACAAATGCAATGAAATGTTAATATTAACGGTGATAACAACGGGTATGCATACATATATTTCGTTATTTTTTTAGTTAATTTAACTGTCATATTACCATGTAGACGACATGCGTCAAAATAAGGCAAATAAAATAAAAATCAATTGTATGTATTCCAATGACAAAATTAATTGTCATACATAGACCTTATGTATTCTTAGATACTCATAAATTGTTTCTTATCTTTCCAGCCTATAAACAATGCAGACTTCGTGGTGCCGGTAGAAATCGACGGTGCCGTGCACCAAGTGTATGTACTGAAACGACCTCACGTCGATGAGTTCTTACGGAGGTGCGGCGAGTTGTACGAATGCGTACTTTTCACCGCATCGCTGGCCAAGTACGCGGACCCCGTCGCTGATCTGTTGGACAGGTAAGTGGTACCACAAAGATATATTTATTTTAATTATTAATACAACGATCGAACACTTAGAAAAATTCATTGAATCCGGTTGGATTCGAACCACCGTTTTCCAGCAAACCGTGCGAACGATCTACCGGTACGTACTTCTTGTTGGTATTATAGCAAACTAGTGAAGTAATTTCGCAAAAATAATTTAATATCATGGTGGTCAAACATCAAAACTTTTTTTTTTTTTCAATTTTTATTAATTTATTTGTTTGCATTCAGGTTACAAAGACCCATTAATACAAACCTTATAGACTAACATGCATAATAATACAATAAAACACTCTTATAACATATACCTTACGGAAAAACATTTTTAATAACCGCTATGGCAAAAAAGTTATTAAAAACCAAAAACAAAGATCTACATACAAGCACATAAAAATTTCGTAAGGTCCGCTAGTTCGTCTGTGGTTTTGCGTCTGACACGCTTTGCTGATAGATGTTGGTTCGAATGCAGCCGGATTGAAGGATTGACGGTTGAAGGAGTTTTCGATGCTCGATCTTTGTATTAATAATAATTATAACAAACTAGTGGAGTACCTACTTTCACAAAAATATTTGAATATCACGGTGGGCAAACATCGTGAGGTTTAATAAACTTAAAAATTTATATATTTTTTAAAACATCACTACACAACAACACACACAAACAATTGAAGGGACGAACAATCGTGTGGCTGGTGCTAAGCGACACACCCACCTGTAACAGTTACATTGTCACTCGAAAGCTAATCGCAAAGATCTGAGGTGCAATGCCACTGCACTCGTCACCCTGAGACATGAAGTGGACAAGTCCCATGTGCTTGTAATTCCAGCAGCACACTTATTCTTTCAAAACAGGAGTGCGGTAATGCTCTCATTACCGCTTGACGGCATATATAGTAAGTAGTAAGATGATTGATTGTATAGCAATTATTATATAATGTGACATGTTATTAATGTCTTTTACTTTATTAGGGGAATCCTGACTGTTGACAAATTCCATGTAGTTTGTAGTTTCACTAGCACCTTTGTCCTTCAAAATCGGATTACATTGCTACATGGCGGTAGAGTAGGTATGGTTGCACTTCCCTGGACGACCTCTTTCACAAAGAGATCTACTGCTACTGTTTATATCGTAGTATTACTTTTACTGTTATTACTTACTATTTTAGGGTATTGCGTGACTCCTTTTAGATTCATACCTTACTCCGCTTTGGGAAAACGCTATGACCAATGCTATAGCTATAGCTAACACAAGCCGATATCAAAGAAACAACACGGGCCGTGGTATCTTTGTGTGATGCCTATCTAATGCGGTGAAATATTTTTGATGTCCAACGTATATGTCATATATTTTATCGAAATATTAATTGAATGAATTACCTGTTTTTAATTTATTTCTTTAATTTTTTGCATAATCTTTTTGTAGCAACAATGTGTTTACAAGAAAACCGCTTTATTCAGTAGTTTACATATCGTCCTTATACTGCGAAAACCAATTATCTGGAATTTTCACAGAAAATGACTTAATATTGGATAACGCAACAAAATTGCTTATATAAAATGCAAACATTTTCAAATTTAGGTAAAACACAAAATGTGGAATCATCTGTTAAAATTAATATGGGCTGACCATGGTTTGCATAAGAAACAGTCGTCGTTGAAATTTTAATTGCATTTATTTAAAAGTCGATATTTTGTGAAATAATTATTTTTCCCAGTATAACGGCGATATACCCTTGATCTTTTTTTATATCGACAGAACTACATAGAACACGCATAGTATACAATATACATTTTTAAAATGGCTTTAATATCGTTTGTAAAAAAATAAATTCTGAAATAAATCCAGTGTCCCTGCAAACTGTTCGACCCAAGCAAAATGAACCGTATTAGTACGGGAAAAATTAGAATTCGAGCCGATTTTAAGAGACTTAAAACTATCGTGAAATAATGTTTTTATACAAAAGGTTATTATTATTATTACATAGTTTCCGCATACTTTGATTATAAAAATATATGGAAGTGATTGGTTCTTTAGGCTGTTTCTATCTATGATGCGTTAAAATAAATGTTAATGTAAAGAACAACCCTTCAGTGTCTTAGTTAGTACGTAGTAGTACTCAAACAATTTGACCAATTTACGTGCAATTTGCTTACGTGAAATAAAACTAGTTTGAATTTTAGAATAACAATGAAATGCTAAAAAATATCTCGTACTTCACAATGAATACGACATTGCTATACTGCATTCCGCATTATTGAACGCGGTACCGCGCCGATCATTGATCACTACAATGTACCCTCAAAAGCTGTATAAGGACAAAGGTATCGTGGCCGATGCCTATAACCGCAAATCGACGCCAAATTCAAAGCAATATCTGTGACGCACTTCAAGGTGAAATTATTCAAAACTCATTGTATACTTTGTCCGTAATATAAACTGGAAATCTAGTTTAAAATAAGTCATTATTTTCATCGTCATCAAGTACAAGCCCGGCTTCACCCACTGCTAGTATATAAAGTATAGTATTACAATATCTCCCCTACAGTTAGTGCCTTTGTTGTTTCGCGATACCGCCGATAAATGATCTTAACATAAGATTGTTAAGTTCATAGTAATCGTTGTTTTAAATCTGTTGCACAGCCTATTGCAAGTTTCTTTGAAAGGTTGCGCGTCAATTACGTTGCCGGGCATAGAATACGATTTTGTGTAAGGGTTGTCACAAAATGGAAATAAAATTACCTTTTAACTTTTAAGGGGCAATGTATAAGCTTCACGAGGTTTAACACTATAGTGAAACAAAAACTTTATAACTATACAGCTTCTGCGTAAGTGGATGACAAGAATCCGAAGTAGTGACCTGTTTAGCTCTTGCAAGTCTCAATCTAAGATGTTTGAAATAATTATTGTAAATGTTAAATATATTCAAATGTATATTTAAAAGAGCAACCCTTAGAGTTTCTTGTTCGTTTTTCTCAAGGGACTCTACCTTACGAATGAGCAGTAGAATTTAATTAATATGACCATTTCAAGTGTAATTTGCTTACCTATGAAATAAAGATGATTTGAATTTTGAACGTAAGTGACACTTAAGTTTTACGTTTTCAGTTTTGTATTATAAAATTTAATTATGCAAAGTATTCGCATTTGGATGAACAAATAAATTGATCATACAAAAATGGAGGAATCGTAAGAATGATCGGGATTTAAATTCTATTTAGTAGGTTAGTCAAATAAGTAGCCTAAAATATTGTTTCGTAAAGGTTGTATTTCGATATCGAATTACATCCACGGAACAGTTGGTGTGCACCATTAAGCATCCAACGTTTTTCGTAGAATTCGCTGAACGTATTTAAAAATATTGGTCCTTGGCGCTCGATCCTACAAACTAAGCATCTTTGTGAGATGCGACCAGTGGCGCCCACTTCCCCGCGAGCACCCCGCCATTGCTCTGCGCAAGTATATTCATTACGCAACTGTATGGTTCGTAAAATTGTGGTATAGGTCTCTCGTACCGTCTTATCTAATTCTTTTCACATATTCTAATTGTGCACTACACCACTATAGTAATGACAATTTTAGAAATTAATATTGAGTTTCGTATGTAACATTTCAGGTGGGGCGTGTTCCGCGCACGGTTGTTCCGCGACAGCTGCGTGTTTCATCGCGGCAACTACGTCAAGGACTTGAACAGTCTCGGGCGGGATTTACGACGCGTCGTCATCGTCGACAACTCGCCCGCTTCGTACATATTCCACCCGGATAACGCTGTGAGTCTCGTCTACCTATCTCTCTCTTCTACAAACATACACACTTGCAAAATAAAACAAAAATTGATAAACGCAGTGTGTATTGCATTTATCATTGCGTATGAGTCACCATAACGTGAATCTAACCTTGAAACGAGATTGCATATGTAAAGGGTTTTAGTGGATGACATATAGGAAATATGTTTTCTTTCGTCGCGTCAACTACCATCAATTGATATCCATAAGTAATTAATTATCGATATAGATTGATAGTAAATTAATGTATTAATTAATAATATAAATAAATAGTGAATTAGATTTGTAATGATAAATAACCTGACCGGTTTTATTATTATTGTAGTGTATGATGTACGTTAGAATATTGTTTATAATACCTTTTTTCAGATAGGAAATGAAACTATTTTTCCGGATTTAAATCGCGTATATTTGTTTTTTCAAACAAACCGACGTTTCGGGCCCTTTACAGGTCCCATGGTCACGGTTGACTGTTCAGTCAACCGTGTAACAATCGCGAAAACCTAAGAACTCGATACCTTTTTTCAGGTTACCTATCTGTAGTCCGAAATGACATTTTCCAGAAATAACGTTTTAACGTTTGCTCGAATTTTCATAACCTCGAAAGTAATTATGAGAGGAAAATGTTTTCTTTTTTAACCTAATTTAACCTAACCAACCTAACGTGTCTTTGCGATAAACATCCAACATATCCTGAAAGAACAACTGTTTCGTTATAATTCGGTTTTCGGTGTAATGAAAATTCGAAACGTTATTTCGGAAAACAAAATCGAGTTTGCGATAGGTTATCCTTTTTCATCTGTCACTCTCTGTATATGTCTCTTCCTTTAAATATTAAATATTTGATTACAACTTCATAAACTTATGCTTATTTAAATATTACATATAGGAACAATTTCAGGACACTTACAGCACTGTAGGAACTTGGTAGAAATTGTTTCTGCGTCGTACTTATGAGCAGATAACACATAAACAAAAAGCAACATTTACTACAAAAGAGCAGTGACTAATGAATAGTTGACAATGTTGGTTGTGGTAGTTGTTACTTATGTAGTAGTATGTATATACGGAGTTACGAAAGCCACAGCCGGAAGGACTTAAATACAACCTGAAAGTATTTCACATATTAAAAAAATTGAATTGAATTGAATTGAAAATAAAATATAATTCTGAAACTAAGACAGATGTGACACTGAATATAGCCCCGCACTAGGGAAACCAGGTGTCACGGGTGCAATGGAGACACACATACACAACCACAAATTACACTCAGACTCACTCACGCAGAGAAATAACTGTAAGCCATACAAAAATTTGTCCCTCCCTCGAACCTGGGACCTCTGCGTGGCAGTTCGTCATGGTAACCGTTCGGCCACAGAGACAGTTAACACTCGAAGTTGGAACGCAAGTGTCCCAATCTCACGGAGCTACCCTGTTGTGGTTTTATCTTCGCACATAACGCTGATCGTACGCCTCGTGTCGTGTGAAATGTTGCAATATCATTGAGCATTGCCACTTAAGAGCCCTTATGCCAAAAAAGTTTTGACGTTGGCTCCGCCCACACTCCCCGCTACCCGCACCTATCATTCGCCGCCCGCTACCAATTCGTCGCAGAGCAAACCGATCTACATTTTAAATTTATTTATTTATTTTTTTTGCAAACTTTACAGCTTTTAAATTTGATTTACAATTCTGAATAATCTACTTACATAGCCAATTACAAAGTTTGTCAGAGTACAATTTATTTTTTTACGTTATATAAAAACTAATTCGATGCCAGAACGAAGTGACTTAAAATATTGTTTATCAAAGAACAATGTAACAAATTGAAATACATATTTATAACGTATTATAACTGAATTCCGTTGTATTAATAGATTTAGACATTAGTTTTTAATCACTATATTTTTTTAATGAAGCGACTTATAAACAAATGGACTATAGTAGAGTATGCGCATTTGTGTGTCTACATGTGTGAAGGTGTATGTGTATATGTGTGTATGTCTATGTAAATATCTGACAAATTTGTGCAAGTGATTTTATTTTTTTTTTGATAGTTTTTTAGTCAAGGCTGATAATAAGTTTTTAGCCAAACAATATCACCAACATTAAAGTCATAATTTTTTACGACGAAGATTATAAGGACCACAATTCAATTTCTATCATGCGACTGTATTAAAGAACTTTGTACATGATCGAAAAGTTTACCGGTAAATTCCGCATATTCGTCTCTAGGCGTAAAAAAATCTTCGGATTGGTCGATATCAAGATTGTGGGAGCCACTTGCCACCAATTCTCTCCAGACGTGATGTTACCAACAGCAATATTGAGAGCAAATTGATTTTTTGGGACATTCAGATCCCAAGAGCTGTGATCGTCTATGAACGTGGAGACAGCTCCCATGGTGGTTTTGTTATAGCGCTCAACAGAGTTTACCTATGGAGTATATTTGTGCGTAAAATATACATTAGGGCTTTTGTATCTCTATTTGGAAAAAAGATTATGTCTTAGATGTTCCACTAATTCCCATATTTTTACGAATTGTAAACAACCACACGAAATAGTATGCTTTAAATATGGAAGACATAAGAAAGGCATTCGTACTCCAGAGTGTCCAGTTTGTGATAAGAAAAATCTAACCATAAAAGTAAATAATTTGGATTGGAGAACCGATAACACTCTTTGCACCAGATTTTCGGAACGTTGCATAGAATCAGACTGGAACGAATGACTTAATTTTATAACCAACTTCTTCACTAGACATTCAAGGTCTTGAATCTTGGGAATTGATTCATGAGTGAAAACCGCTACAATGTCAATCCTTTATTAATGGAATATTTACATAACTGGATTCGAATTATTTAGAAAGAAAGTGTCACTTTGCGTGATTATAACTTCATAAACCATGTCACAAAGGGGCTCTTTTTATTTTTCTTTTTCTCGCTACTGATTCATTATAGTTCTGTACACAGAATATAATGAATCTGTCGATTTTCTGCATCAGCGCCATTTCATTATATACAAAACTTCTTGAATTCGTTTCTGGACCTTTCTTTGTCTTTGTTACTCTGGTGGTTACCGGTGATTATAAGTGCCTAAAAACCATAACGCTTATTGTTTATAATATAAAACGAGGAAGCTAGGAACATAATGAAAATAATATGATTATTGAAAATGCATACACTTGGTAAATTTTCAAAGGCATTCATCAGTCATTTTTACAAATATTATATATTTATAATATGTAATGTAAAACATGTAAATCGTATCGTCATATCAACCGAGTGGCTCGCGAAAGCGGGAATAAACAAATTTAAATGTTATTATGCACATAATAAGAACTAAAATCGTCTGCACGACCTTCACTCTTATACCGGTGAATTTTCAATCCTATTACGGATAAAATCAAAATTCGTGAGTTCTAAGTGCGCTTATGCACATGAAAATAATATTTTTCAGTTTACCGTTCAATATAGGTAGGTAATTCACAAACTTACCTTCGACAATTAGCCATCAATATTGATAATTTACGATGACGATTAAACAACTCAGCCGCAAATTTTGTCAACGTCCTCTCAACACGAAACAAATATACCTCGAAACAAATATATGAAGTTCCCGTGACATGCGACAGGAGATGTTGTCTTTTGCGCATTGAAAATGTCGTAAGTGCCAAATTCGTTTTAGCGGAATAACTCTAAAACTAAAGGGATTATAAAAAAATCCGTAACGACAACAGTCGATCATGCATAAATATCATTAATTATCTAATTTTTGTCCTAATAACTCATAGTATTTCGAGAATAAATCGACAAAATGTAAAAATTACAGGTGATTTCGTGATTTTTATCTGTCGAGGAAACTTTATTGTTTTATGTTTCTGATTAACGCCTGTGCTTGAATATATCGTGTAGTTACTCGTACAATATTTTATTTTTTAACTTTAAAGTGGATTTACCCCTCTAAAATCAAATCGAAGATTAGGAATTTTTCCTCTGCTCCCTCTTAAGCCAAAACCCTGGTGACACATTACGTAACTCAAAAACAAAAACAACACTCAAGATGAGATGATTATAGTGAATGTCGTGTTATTTGCCGCTGTTTATGTGTTACCAAATTCTATGTAGGTGTTTAACCCATAATTAAATGTACTATACAATTACGATTGGTATTAGTATGCATTATTATATTGGTATTAGAGAGCAAACCCCTTATCAAATTAATTGGCACATATATTGGTATTAGAGAGCAAACCCCTTATCAAATTAATTGGCACAAAATTACAAGTAGCTATTATTTTTCGTTCAGCCTATTTCCTTAATAAATAAAATGAAGACACGTAGGTTATCGCTCATCCTAAATACTTATGGCTAGCCTTCTTGTCTTCTTATCACTCCTTGGACAAGACACTAAGCATTGTAAAGATACTTTTCTTTATATTTATTGAAACCCGGAAACATATTGTTACTTTACTTGACACTACAATTCCTATCCTTGGTATATTAAAGCTACTACTTGAGATCATGGTTGAGAAGTGCTATTATCACATGAAAGTTATAAAAATAATACAATAGTAACTTTGAGGTTAGTTTTCTCTACCTAATTTCGGTGGCAATTTTTAATAATTATGTATTCGAATGTATTATCGTGAAATATTTAAATAATATTTCAGGACACCACACTCAAATATTAAATAGTACTTCATGATAATATTCTACAACATTTAAATAATACAAATTTCCACCGAAATTAGGTAGAGAAATCTAACCTGAAAATAACCCACAAACTACATGAAACAAATTATGTATGTCGTCGCCTTAGAGTGAATGAGGTATGTGGTTTCTATGTAATTTTTCAGGACGAAGATGAAAATGTGGTGTAAAATGTAGTAAACGCAATAATGTTATTCCAACATACAGCTTCTTTCAGATACTATATTACTTTAATAATATATTTGAGCTAGAAGTTTATACGCTTTTATGCAA